GTGACAATCATGACATCTGCAGTGTTTAGTGCAGAGAGAATAGCTTTGATAACTGGTGATCCGAAAATTAGTTGACTATTAAAAAGAATAACTGAACATCAGTTAACAAATAAAATACACCTGAATTATGAAACAGCGTTCTTGTAATTGTTATTTTGCACCAAATGTAAAAATGCTTAAATGGTCTAACTTGATGAGAAATATAGGCCTACTTCTTTTTAATAAATATAACATTAATTGCATTAAATTAATGGAAAAATACAAAATAGAATCATATTGGTTGTTGTTATGTTTCTTGATATTGTTAGTATGGTAAGATGCCCTATGGCAGGATGATCCCCCCTCCTCCACCTTCATTTTTTTCTCTTAACCACAAAATCTCATCTCAAGCACTTTTGATGAATGCCTACCTGATTTTTATTTCATCAAATTTTTCAACATTTGTGACATTTAGTCAGTCCATATTTTATTCTTCAATTAAAATATGGGTAATTAAATATGTAAATATTCATATGCCTGTATACAAGTCATAGAATATTTTTACCTTTCAGATGATTCTATTTTGTCTGTAATTCGTTTTTCTATAGTAACACATTGGCTGATGCTTCGTCATCATGCATATGCTAAACTTACATCTAAATATTTTACAATTTAAAAGTAAATCTACATTGTTCTTAAGGTGGACATCTTCCCCCATTGTACTCAAATGTTTATTTATTTAACCTGAAAAATGTCTTAAGGTAAAGTGTAACTGGAACATGAATTTAAATAAAAAATAAAAAATAACAAAAATAGAACACCAACACATTTCAAAACTGTACGCCACTGAAACACCAGCAGCATCCTGCAGCGGATGGCAAATATATATTTGCGATTTTAAATATTCACCACTAGATGTCATCAAAGGACAAGCCATATTATAATTTCGTCAGCTAATCTATACTATCATTCAAGAACATTTCCGAGAATGTAATTCTGTAATTGTAAGGAAAGGAGATGGAACTTTTAAACACATCCACATGCAAGTATTCAAACATGTCTGTTCTATATTTATTTAAAAAGTCTGCATTCTGAAAAGTAGGCCTATACAATACGATTAATCAGTTCGAATAAAAAAAACAAAAAAAACAACAGGCTTTAATTGATTTTACTCTTGGCTAAATGGATTAACGACTGATCATGAAAAAAACTGCTGCTCTCTGTCACATCCACGCAGTAAAAATTATTTTTCAAAGTTGAAACAAAGATTAGTGGAGTTTTGAGTACATTTACAAAAAGATTCAATACTACAAAATTTGACGTTTAATTGTGTTACAGTGTGTTTCGTTGTAATTGTGTGTGAATTTAGGCTATCAATATATTTTATTTTTATTTTAATTATAGGCCTATGAGGTTAGGCTACATGGCACTGTTAGTTTCAGGTGCTGTTTTTACAACAAAACTAAACTAAACTAAACTAATAAAATAAAATAAAATAAAATAAAATAAAATCTCCAGTACCAACATTGCCATCCATGGTAACAAACACTAACCAAATAAAAAGTTAGAAAAAAATAAATTAAAAGCAGGATCCTGGTGCAGAGTTTTTATTTGACCATATAAATACATACATTTTAGATTATTGTACGTAGCCGAGTTATATTGCCACATTAGCACACAGTTCAAAAACAGTACATTTTCATTTTCAAATCAAATCAACCGCTTCCTGCTCTTATGGAACCATTTAAAGTAAATAATATGACACTCTTCAACTTAAACTGCCTGTTCAGAACTATGTTTCAATATCATCCTTGCCTTTTGTTATCGTCTTGTAGGGAAGCAGCGTTTTCAGAGAACCTGTGTCATCTCTGCTATTAGTGGCTGTCAGCCTGTCATTTATACCAGAACACTGCATCATAGAAGTAACCAATACTTCAAACAAACAATAGTTACATTTATATTACCTGGTTTATATTTATATCAGTAATTAAAATGCAATTTAAACTTTATTACTTAGTTTTACATTTAAAATTATAAGTATCATATGACACTGTAGTCAAAAAAAGGGGGGGAGGGGGATCTCATTTTCCATGAAACTGGAAAACCTTCACTGATAGTGACTAAACTAATTTCAAAGGAAATAATTATTTTATGAATATTGAATGTCATTATCCAGATTCTGCAGGAGACGTCAGGTTTATGAACCTGAAAAGTGGCTTCTCGGACACAGAATAAGCCGTGTCCTGCACTAAATGACATTCTTGATAGTGATTCGAAATTGAAAAATGCTGTCTCCTTGTGTAGATGCAGTGTGATGATAAAACCTCTGCCTCAAACAGGGCTATATAAGATGAACAGACCTGACAGTCAATTCACTCTGCATAAAACCACACTGAGGCCGCTATATATCCAGTCAACCTATCAGAGCAGACACTTACCCCTTTTTGTGGTCCTCAGCCCCTACCCTCTCCTCCTCTACATCTGTCCATCATGCTTCTCCTCTCTGCTCAGCCATTCTGTCTATGGGACATCAGGAGCTTTTCTCAAAATGAGCTTGTTCATTTTCTGCTGAAATATGAACACAGTTGTAACAGAAGTTATACCTTAGCGCTATTAGTGGATATTACCTGTTATTTCTTTCACATGAGTAATTGTTGTTATTATTTGCGTGCCATGGCTAATTTCAAGTATTGTTTTCTATAGTGCTGTCCTGTTGCTATAATCTGTCCTGTTTCAAATCATCTTTTCCAAGCACCTGCACTGCAAACAATTTAATAAACATGTTTTATTGCCCTGTGTCTGTTTGACAATGAACAATGAGGTGAGAGGGAGAACAAATATTGCAAAAAATGCCAAGGGGGTTTATACAGGATGAATTGTCGTGAAATATAGTACAAGCGCTGATCGAAGGATGTTTCCAAAAATATTCAGTACTTTACTAACAACCTAAATCTGCAGGTTTGTTAGTCTTTTCTCTTACTGTCTTTTCTTCATCTCCACACCAAGAGAAAAGATGTAATATCCAGATTAAGCGCACCACCTTCATGTAAAATTTTACATACTCACTAATTCTTTCATTCAGCATGCATAAAATTATAGGAACAATCGTAGAAACAAAACGAGCTGGAGCTACCAAGATGGGAACAGATGGCCCATAATTGCCTCGTAGAGGAAGCCAGGGAGTCAATTTTTACAGGTCTCGAGGGAGTGGCAGATGCAAAAAGTGCAGGTGCATTTGTTTTGATCGGAGATGGCCTAAAGGAGCGATCTGAAAAAATGCATCACACACATTAGTGCAGAATTTAACAAAGCACGATTGCTTCGTCTCGGCAAGACCGTAATAAGGCAGGGAGTTTTCATTAGGGGCCAACGAGGTAAACATGGGAACGCTCGCTCATGACAGGCGTGTGAAACTGCAACAGATGCGGCACAAATTAAAGCCGCATCATCGTGCAGAGATAAATCAGGAGCACATCAATAGGGTAAAAAAGCATGGCACATTTTCTCTTGTGTCGTTGCAATTTCACATTTGAAGAACTCATCCTTTAAATCTACTCTGAGTAATGTGCAACAACAAAAAATGTTGTACTTTAAAGTGTTTTAAAAAGCACAGTAGAAACACGAATTGATAATAAAGGTCTGTTTATTTTTTGAAAATTGTGAAAGCAAAAAATCTAATAAAAATCACACATGCATACATATACAAAATAGATTATCCAGTATCATATATTAAGATATCTGTTAATAAACTATAATGCACCAATGAGTATTTGTTTTCCTCAAAATTGACCAGAATCAACATACTGAGCTCTGATCCCTTAGAACTATGCCATATGATGCATCAAACATAGCCCAGGATTTCATTTTTGTCAGTCTCTTTCGATTGTATATCACATCTGAACACCATAAGTGCTCCTAAAATACAACCCGCATCCTGAATACGCTTTGTTCCAACCACTACCCCTTTATAATCTCAAACTTGAGCTGCCTGACAATATCAAACTAATAAATTACCTCCTGCCTCCTCTATAACTCGCTAATAAATAAAAAAAGAAGCTCCACTTTCCTTGTACAGCTGTGACCCAGGGTTACCTAGCAACAGGTCATGCCCAGATAAAAAGCACAGGGTAGTGATTCACCTATGAGGAGATGGAGAGACGGGGGCATCTTCACTCTCTGACCCTTGACAGATGGAAAACGCACTCAGAGGAAACGGTTCTTTGATTGACAGGACAGTTCTGAGTATGCCTGCATCACTCCTTCACTCCTTCAAAATTGTATTAACACAGCAAGCAAAGTATGCTTGTGAGATATGCCTCATCCCTTGCTGTTCCTCACTAGCATTAAAATACAGAAGAAAATTACAAAATGCTCATCAGATTCTCTACTCTTTTCCCACAAAATGCAACAATAACCCTAATATTGACAACATAGGACATTGAGACGTCATGTGTACGTCATCCCTCTAGAAGCTTTAATGACATATTGAAGAAATGAAACATTCAGACCGCATATTTAAAGCAGTCTGACCTTTCATAAATGTTTATCCTCCTTTTCAATCCAAATAAATAAGACGTATAAAACAAAGATGCATAGATGTCAAGATTTAAATGGATAGTTGAGCCAAAAATGAATATTATGTCATCATTTAATCTCCCACATGTTGTTCCAAACCTGTAAGACTTTTGTTCTTCTGTGGATATTCTAAATAAAACAACTGTGAACCCAGTGGAGTTCCTTTGTCATAAAAACAGGACATACAAAAAAAGTCATACAGGTTTGGACATGAGGGTGAGCTGATAACAGTATTTTCAATTCGGAGTGACTAATGCAATTACCATCATTTTATGAAAAGCAGCTGTTTAATTTAGCCGCTCCTTTTAGAAACCAAATATAACTGAATCTTAATGATATTCAAAATTGTTCACATTAAGGCTAATACTTCTAAAGCATTTACAGATTTTATACAATCTCTAAATTAGTGGTACATAAAAAAAGCTATAATTAGGTGTACAAAATAGCTAAAGGAAAATCAGTCATGTGAGAATTATTAGTATTTATTTCTTTATTTCATAAATACATTTCATTATTTTATTTCATCACTGATGTAATTGCCACCCAGGACTACAGTTGAAATTTTACTTTAAGCTAAGACTGTTACATTTTATATACTGTGAATTGTCCCTGTACAAACAAACAAAAGCAAATAAATAAATAGATTAGGGAGTCTCAATACTTTAGGATGGATTCTCTTATTTATCTATGCCTAATGATAGTTTACATCTCGTTTATCGTTTGTATTTAACCACACATCAAACCATCTGATTTCAACAGCTTTGCACTCAGTCAGTGCCTCTGTTGGCTATTCTCTGTCCCTCAGGGGAGCCACACAGCTGTGTGAGTTTAGCTCACGGTTGAGGTGAGGCCACACACAGTTGAAAAAAAAAAACATACACTCCTTTTATGCTTAAACACACACTACGAACATTTAACATGCAGCTAGACCTACATTTCAGCTACATTATTGACAACATAATACAGTGTGAAGCTGGCTTCTAATAAGAATTGTATTGTGTATTGCTCATCATAGCGAGATGGGACTGAAGGTACAGTATATGAAAAATAAGCATCAGCAGTGGGAGGCTAAGATAACAGCAGGCCCTTCAGGGGCTAATGGACAGCTTTATGGCAATGAAAGTGAATTCTGTCTACATAGAGGACAGTTTGATGCTCACTGCTGGCAACCTGTAAGTCTGAAGTTTGGTTCTTCGCTTCTGTGTCTATGAGCAAAACACAGAAGTCTCACCTACCCGAGGGGAGTAAAGAATTGATGACCTGCACTTTGACTTCTTACTACTTATTTTCTGCTTGTATGTGTGTGTTTAGATAAAGGATAGATCAGAAAGCCAGAATCTTAAAACGACTGTGGCAAGTATTTCCACGAGCACCTGTAACTCAGAAATAACTGTCGATTTTACTATTACATTTTGATGAACATTTTTGATATATATACTCTACACACAAGGAGACTCTCATAAGAGTTGAGGAGCCAACCGTAATAACAGATAAAGGCTTATGGAGCAGAGAAAATGGGTATTGTGTTGTGCCCTGGGGCCTGACTGTTAAACCTTGTACAGAACCACAACAGTCACATGACAAACAATGCTTCCACAAGAATTTCATCTATAACGTATTCCTTCAAAACTGATTAGGAAGAGAAAGAACCTGAACTCCTGAACAAGAAAAGGGAATTTTTAGCACGCAAATTGATTAGTAGGTTAACTAGAAGAAAAAACTAAGCATGCTGGTCAAACCTTAAAGGAAAAGTCTAGGTAAAAATTAAAATGTCATCACCCTTTAGGTCATCCAAGTTTTAGATGAGTTTGTTTCTTCATCAGATTTTGAGAATTTTAACATCACATCACTTGGTCACCAATGGATCCTCTGCAGTGAATGGGTGCCGTCAGAATGAGAGTCCAAACAGCTGATAAAAGCATCACAATAATCCACAAGTAATCCACATGACTCCAGTCCATCAATTAACATCTTGTGAACAAAAAGCTGCATGTTTATTAAAAAAAACAAATGCATCAAGATGTTCTTAACTTTAAACTGTAGCTTCTGACCAAAATAGTCCATAATCCATAATGATGCTTCCTCCACTGAAAAAGTACATCCCCAGTTGTCCTCTCACATCAATTTCAGTTTAGATGGTGCTTGATCTGTGCATATTTCTCACCTGATTCAGACTAGATGATTTTTTCACTGGAGAAACGTTAATTAAGCATTATGGATTCAGGACTTGTATTAATGTATGCAGGCTGTAGAACTTGTTAATGTGTAAATCTGAATATGTTCAATTTGTATGAATGAATCAGGGCCTACAGCCCATACACTTTCCTCTGTAGCATGGCTGTTAGTCTCTAGGTTGAGTCAGAACAAAGCATTTCAGTTTGGCACTCACGTTGTGAGACAATGTTCTTCTTTACACCCCACAAGGCAGGATGCAGAGCCCACAGGTGAGGGTCTACAATGTTACCTATGTATCATGTGTTCGGTCAAACACAGGAACATCTGTATAAAGTGTTTTGGCAACCATGATAACAGAACCCCCCTTCTCTCCACGGCCAGTTTTAGTCAATGGGCATCCATCACTGATGCTAACAGCTCTGATTAAAAATACATCAACTGCAACTGGCCTCCTGATGGCAGCGCTTCATAGCGAGCATAATTAGGGGATGGGGAACTGTGATGATGAAGGGCAATGCACACCTGCTCTCCGTTAAATCACGCTTCTGTTGGTGAAGCTTGCATATTTCACCCCCGCAAATTAATTAATACCAAATTATGGATGGGACACCTTATTTATTTATGGTCGGAGTTGTCTAAAATCAGCAAACATACCCCTCATTTCCTTTCTCCTCACTTTCCTGGTTGTTCTCATATCAACTTATGTAAGTGTAGGTTGCGCTTTAATAAATACAAATTTTAAATGTAATAGATTGAACTTAAAATTAAGGTAAAAAAAACTGCATTTCATTACCTGAAATAGGGCTGGACAATAATTCAATATCAATATGTATCGCGATATAATTTTTTTCAATAACGGTGATATGATTTTTAAACACATTTCCGATATTTCGATATACATTACCACTTTCCCATACATTGATTTACAGACTTCTCTTAGAGGGTAGAGAGAGTTTCTTCATGCCTCAGGTAGTATACGGTCATGTTGAGATCACATGACCAGGTATACCACCTTAAATAGTTGTGTTCACTTGAAGCAGTGATGCGCAGACCAATCGGTGTATGACATCGAAGTACAAGGGCGATTAGAAAACAGACAATCGCATATGCTTTCAAATCACTCTCACAGTATTTTGATGTCATCACTGATTGATCTGTGCAGTGTCACTTCAAGCCGAACAGACCTATTATCTCTGTAACCCCCCCAGTAGTGCATACTTTCTCTCATTTGATATTTTTACCCCTTAAGTGCCACCGGCCCACAGGTGGGCCCAATGGCGCTCTTTTTTGTTGTTGTCTTTTTTCTCAATCACATATCTTAGTAATCATCATAAATTATATATCATTTGAAAGCTTAAAACCTCAGAATTCATCCTGTGAAAACCATTTTTTAGATCGGACATTGATTTACCATGGAAATGGTACTTTAAAATCTTTTAGCGGTCTCCTCCCCTCAAGTGTCATATTACAAAATGTATTACGGTCTTTTAAAATCAAACGTTTTTATAATCTTGACAAAATACATATATTTGGAAAAGTCTGAGTCTCGATTCCATATTTGGTGGTTATTTTTTGATAGAAGTAATATTGACAGAGAAATTTAGACCTTTGTGACAGAAAAATGCATCAACAAAATTTCTACAGAGTTTGAATGGCACCCGGTGGCTATTTGTGGTATAACGGATTCAAAAATATTTTGTGAAATATTTACTTTATATAAAATTTAAAAAAATTGGTACAGGTCATTTTCTTTACAATAAATTTAAACTTCTATAACTTTTTGATACTTTAATATTTTGGAATGATTCCACTTCTGCAGTAATCTGCAGATTGTCTTCTTAAAAAGGAGTATTCCAAAGTTTTCATGAATTATAATAATTTAAGTTTGGATAGTGCACTTTCACGTCTATGTTCAAAAATGGGGGGTGGCACTTAAGGGGTTAAACATGGCTGACGGTGACTGGAGACTGCACACTTCTTAATATACTAGGCCAAAAAAAAAAAAGTATAAACAGTAGGCTATTTGAAAAGTACCCGGATGGCCTACTATTTCCTGTGAGATTCTTAAGTGCATCTGATGGACACTTTACTATCGCATGTGACCATAAGAGACCATAAGAGTTAATGGCAGTGAAATGACTCGGCACATCACAATGGTTACATCACAATGACAACATGTCATGATGTATGTAGTAGCCTACGTCTGCATTACATTCAACATACTGTAGGCCTACTATTTAAGTAATTAGCCTACTCATTCAAATGAAGTAGTCTACCTATAGCCTACTCAGAGAGTAGGCTATGCGATTCCTAATGCAGCTTAGTTTTCCGTAAAACACCATTTTTTGAATTATGCATTGCATGTGTTTTAGGATTAAAGAAAATGTCCGTAAACCTGACGGATGGCAGAAAATTACCAGTGTCCATGTTTCTACAAAGATTTTTTTCTTTTAGTGTATACGTGAAACAGAACAGGGGTGTATTTCAGAAAGCACGGTTAACTTACCGTCAGCTAAACCCTGAACTTTCGGTTGATTAACCCCAAACCTTGCTTACTCGAAGTATGTGGTTCCAAAAATGCGTCAGGGAGTAAGTTCATTCAACTCAGAGTATGTTCTTCTTCTTCTTCCGTTTTTTGGCGTGTTATATCCTGTGTGCATATCGCCACCTACTTTTGCTGTTATGCAGTCATGGTTTATTTATTATCAATTTATTCCTTGTTTTTGCTTTTCCTGTTCTTACACACGTATATACACAAATATTCCTACTTAAATATTTATTCGATGCTCCATCCCATTCCTTCTCCCCAGGCTCCACCTGGCGCTGCGTGTTCAGCTCCTCCAGACTAAATCCGTGGTCTCCTAACGATCCAGAATAGAATAGAGCATCCGCATTCTATATTTAAATCCTTTCACTTAACCCAGTAGTATATATGTATTTTATTAATATCCTGTATCCTTCTCTATCTCTGTTAAACTCATACTCCTTTTCTTTGTATACGCCATAATAATGTAAATATTTCACACATCAAATCTTCTCTAGAAGATTGCCGAGTAATCAATGATGTTAAAACAGAAGCAGAGTCAGAGCATACCACTACTCTGTCTGGTCTTACTTCCTCTACCCATGTTAGTCCTATTATGATAGCAACTATTTCAACAGTATATATTGACAATTTAGATGTTAATCTTTTAGTTATGGATATTTTAAAATCTGGAATATATATTCCTACTCCTGTAAGCCCTGTTTTGGGGTCTTTAGATCCATCAGTATAAATGTGCA